ACTGGCTTTACACATTCCCTATAACCAACACTTACTGGCAGTACAAATATCAGAAGCCAATACCTTCAAAGAAAGATTTTTTTCTCCTTGTCCTTCCTGTGACTTATATAAAACATATTCAACCTGTATGACTGCATTTACAGGAAGAACAAGAAAATCCTGGATATAGTTCTCCTATTCGCCAGAATCCGATAAGTTATAAGCCTTATATATTCCGGCTGGACAGTTGTGGATGGAGTAAAGCAGAATTCTGGAAATACCTATAGTATGTACTAGTTCTACATTCTCTGCTATATATATTTTTTATTGAGTATGTCCTAGATTTTCTAAGTAAGAAATACAAGACATTCTTTCTTACTTATGCTTGAATCAAGTCAAGTGGCTGTATGGCTTTCACCCACATCCTAAGGAGGTAATACATATTTTACTATACCGCTACTCCTATTACCACTACCTAAAGGAGTGTGTCAAAACTTTCAGATGCTCTCAAACCCAGTTGTAAGTAATCTTTAATGACTAGATTGCCTTCTTAATTTCTCGATATTGAGATAAACTATTTTGGAATGCGTAAAGACTCACATTTTATACTCTTTTTCAATATGCTCAGGCTATTGAGCATGTTACGGAATTGTAAGAAATTTGGGAATTTGTGGAGGGAAATATGAGACTATTTTGTTATCTAGGGAAAAATCAAAGGGCTTTTTGTTTTGGATATAAAAAGGCTCATACTTTTAAATTTCAAAGTATTGTTATACCTAATAGTCTTTTATTATCTCTAGTTGGTCTATTTCCGGGACCTGTGGGTGACTGAGTTGTATGGTGATCCTCAGAGATTGTTGAAATTCTGTCCAATTTCTTTGAGGTCAGTGCAATATCTGAGGATGAAAGATAGCATGTATATGGTGATACTCCTTATACCCCTTCTTCAGGAGTGATGGGTCCATTTTTGGCACAAGTAAATAAACTATTAACAAAAGAGGAGGAAGTAGCAAATATTGTAATATTTGGTCAATGGATTGTGGTGGAATAGCAATTTGCATGGGGTGTTAATTATTGGGCATTAAATTCTTCTTGGTCAGTATTGAAGTTAGATTTGTCATCAATTGCTGAATACATTATAGTAGCTACATTGATAAACTATATACTTCTCTGTATTTCAAGTGGAAATCAGGTCTCTGAAAAGTATCACTTACAACCACCTACAGTGGAGGAATACTTGTATATAGTAAAGAGTAATTAAAAAAAAAAAAAAAAAAACCACTTTTCTTGTAAAAGATACAAAATCTCTGCAGTGTTTCCTTTCACTTCGGCTAAGGCAATTTTTGCAGTTTTCCAACCTGCTTCCAAAGACCCAAGACGCCGCTCAGTAGCTTCTTTCTCCTAAGTTAAAGGTGTACTTTGTGGGGGTTGAGTAGAATCTTTATCGCTATTCATAGGAACAAGTACATTTGCAACATGCTCTAGAACAGCAGTTAGACCGCTACGTTCTTGTGCCAAACTGGTGTCCAAAATTTCACCCCACTCTCTAATCTTCCTTCTCTTATCCCATAAATCTTCTGACTTGTTTTACTTTCCCGAAACCTCAATCCTATCACCTGTATCAGTACTAAGAGTACTGTCTTCTAATTCTCCAGCTCCTTCTCCATTTTTCTCCATACTTTCCCCGATTTCCTTATCATCTCCTAATATCCCTTTATCTTTCTTCTTTCAAGTTCTTTGCTGCTTGTAAGCACTCAGTGCAGTTCTTACAGCTTCATAGTTTCTTTTTCCTTTCATCGTAGAAAGCAAATCACGTCGGTGGGTTTCGGCTAAAAGGCCATCCTTCGTTTTTTTGGATTTCATTTCGTTTAGGTAGTTTCTGCTTCCCCAACCATCTCCACTCTATTAAAATTAGTATTTAATAAAAAAGTATCTAGTAGCACTGAGTGAGTTACATTTTCTACTCTCACTTTCCATTGTTCCCTTGTTTGCTCATATTTGCCGTCGGTTTGAGCTGTACCGCTCTCCTTAAACTCTTGCTTGGTTTTGAGGTTGTATTCTGCCAGCATATGCATCATCATATTTCGTGGATTGCTCACAGGACGGGAAATCGCATTGGAAAATAATTGTTGTATTTTCAACCAGAAACGCTCTTGACACCCGCGAGTGAAGTACTCTCCTGCATGAAGGACACACAAGCGCGCTAAAATGAGCTTTTCGGATTTTGTGTATCGGTTTTGCGGGTTCACTGGCTGTTTGCGGACAATCTCGACTTCGGGAAGCTCTTGGTATGATGATCCTGCTTGCTGCTGTGTGGACATTTCAAGCTCAAAGATAGATACAAACAAGTGAAATGCGGAGGTGAAAGGTTTTCATGTAAACAAACTAATAAACAACCAATCAACGACAGTCTTATTTAAGAGCAGTTCTTAAGACTGTCGAAAGCTGCGCCACTCAGCACTATTACATGTTTGGAATGGTTAGTTGCGTTCCTGTGGTGATAAGACTGTCCAACCTGCGACAGTCTTAGCAAAACCTCCCTATTAGCTTGGACTACCACTCCCATGGTAGGGGGGGTGGCTCGAATCTCCAGACCAACCTCAAAGGTTCCATGGGCCGACCGAAATCTTAGACCCAACTTAGCCCAATCATGCCCGGCCTAACCAAGGGCCCGGGTCGGCTCAAGAAATCTTGGCCCATTGGAAGTTTTGCAGCGGACTCGGAAAGTGGCTTTTCAAACCCAAGGCCGAAGTTTCAAACAAAAGCTTGGATTTCGTTACCGGGAAAGGGTTTATTCCCTGGGAATCTGGCAGCTTTGACTCGGGTTGCGGCAGGATTCGACCTGGCAGTTTCCTGCGCACCCCGGGGTTTTTTCGACACCTAATAATTTCAACAGGACTGACTCAGGTGTTTAAATCCATGGCCGGACTGCCGACCCTTGGTCAGGACTTGCCACTTGGGATCACTGCCCCCATCCCACGGCAAGTAGTGGAAACAGTATCGGACTCTGCAAGCGAACGCAGTAGCACCAATGACTCCGGCTTAGTCACAGATCTCACAGATACCTGAGCAGATAGTGGGGTATGGATCATCCATGAGCCCTATCTAACAGATGAAATACTGACAGATGGGAGGGTTGCTCAATGATAGGACCACCAGTGGAGAAGAGCAATTGCCATTCAATTGGTACCCGCTCAAGAAACGTTTGATCATTCGCGAGACTATCAAGCAAATCCAATCATAATTGACTATACTCGACCATACTCGATCACAATCCAGTAGTTGCCATGATAGACTACTCGATCAGGGTCCACCAATCTGCTCGATCATTCAATCACGGGTCCTCTCGATAATGCTCGTGCTCATCACTACTTGGAAAACCCCCACACATATTGATTCCATGGATCTCGATCATTGAACACTCCCTGCCTGCTGGTTGTTTGGAGAGCATCTGGGTGAATGGGACCCCCCGAACCAGCATTTATTACTGTGGTGCAAAGGGTGCTGCACTTCTCTGAGCAAAATGCGTCGTTGAGATACCTACAGTTCGGATTCTGTTCCCCTTGGATAATAGGGGGGACTTCGGTGTCTTATCCGTTTAAAGATATCGCATAAGACATTCTTTGGTGCCCAAATCCATCATTTATAGATGGAGAGGTAATGGTTGGGGACTGGGTTATATTTGCTCATGCATTACAGCTGATAATACTATAGGGCAGCCACGCACACTGCTCTCAAAGGAGGTATATATTTCTTTTTGGAACTCAGATTTCTACTTGCCACTCCAGAGCAGCTAAACCTGAGAAGTATCCTCGCACCGGATGTCCCCCATCCGACCCCCAATCCCTCCATACCACCAATGACAGCGGAATGGACTGTACGGTACTGGTAGTACTATACTCGAGTACTTGAATCAGCTGATAAGGTCGCTGTTTTCTGCCCAGAACCCGACATTACACTTTCATTCTTTCATTCTTTCTTGCTGTAAGTTGGCCTCCAACTCACGCCAATGTCACAACAACCTTCGAAAGGCGGTAAAACGCAAGGGATAAGAGGGAATTGCATTTAAAAAACGACTCTGAGCAAAAGACTTTCGGGAGCAAGCACCGACGCTCGAGGTCTCCAGTTGGGCTTCGCTTGTTTAAGTATGATCCAAAGCAATTAAAACGTCTGTAAAGGTGGGTGCATTTTCAGTCGCTCCTAGTCGCATCGCCCCACGCATCTAGATTTTTAATCTCACTACCTAGGAGTATTAGAATGCGTTTTTGTTGTCGCACAATCAGGGTCTTCCCGCTGCGAAGTGTTGTGTAGGCTTGTTGTATGAACGTGTACAGTACTTTATGGACTACCTATGCATTCATACACAGTGAGGCTTCTCTGTCTTGTACGCGGAGTTTCTCTCACTGTTTGTTCCCTTAAATAGGGGGTAGTCTTCCTTTGCTTTCCGCTTTTTTTTTTTAATCGATCAACAAAATAATCCCCCGACTAGTGTTGTTCTCACCTCGCATTTCGTCGCCTGCACTTGTTGCTGAAACAGTGCTTGAGGTTGTTGGAGCACAATAGGAAGGTTCGAAGTCCTCGGCACATGGAAGCTACATGTGCTATGGTAGAGGTGTAGCTAAACGAAAAATAAGGTAGGCAGCAAACCTTCTAGCGAGGAGATTCTGTACACGGTATAGTAAGCGCATTTTATTTCTTGCCCCATGCTGAAACTAACCTATGCTTTGTTCAGCCAAAGTGAAAAAGATCAAACCAATACACCCTGTCCCGGCGGCACCTTATACGGGTAATACTCAAAGAGGTATTCGCGCTGTGTTGTGAACTGTACTCGGTTTTTGGCATCCCGGAGCGTTAGACCTCCTCTCATACCGGACTCCGAGAGCAAGGCTGATGGAAAAAGTCCTACATGTGTAACATAACCTCGCCGATGCCAAGAACCAATAGCAATGAAAACCCGTCTTCTTCCTTTTTTTTTGTTCTGTGATGATGACTACCTCTCTTGACATTGCTAGAGAGCCAGAATCACCTCCAGGGCTAGCCCTCCGCTCCACCATACCCATCATCGTTATTCCCCTCCTATAAGCATGAGCGTGGGTGCGAGCTCGAGGATGGGGTGGGGGAGTGCCTCTTCAGATCAACGATTTACTGTGCGGTGCCCCACGGAGGTTCATCCTGGCTACTTGCTCATCGGTTCCTCCACAATGCCGAATCTCGGAGAGCCAAAGCGGAGGCCCTTCCTGGTGATTCGATGCAACCAAAAACATGTTATCTGCTTGTAGGTACTCCCCGATGGCAGACGTTACCCACAGTCACCGTTGATACATTCATACAGGCCATTCACCTCACTACGAAAATACGACTCAATCTACCATGCGTGTCGTGATCACGAGAGGGAACCAAATACCTACTACCCAGTCTCGCCAAACCAAAACGACGGTATATATATTCCGATAACAGTACCGGAGTATTGCAAAGGATACATTGACCTCTTATGTCCAATGACTCTTGGAATGAATACAATCGATTGGGGTTGCAAAATGGGCAGGATATCTGACGAGGACCTCACAAGAGTCACTGAGGCCCACAAAAGGCTTGTGTGGGATATGAGCGAAGGCAGAAATTCATCCGGGATGGCTCTCAGGAGCGCACCAGTATTGGCGGGACACACGCTCGAAGGTGGAAACCATCGACCTCATACAGTGCCCGGCATACCACGGCGTAACTGCGAACCTAAAACATCAGAGAAATCACAACTAGGTCAACCAAGCAGCTCCCGCCAACAAATTGCGCCACTGAAGAACACATCTTCTGAAATCCGGCCACCCGTACACTCAACAAAAGGCCCTAAACGGAACAGAGGCTCAGGCTGTCGCCCGTCAAAATATAGAACCCCGAATACACCGTACGATCGAGATGACCGCGGTAGGCGGGGTCATAGCCACGCTGGGGACAGGATACCATGGAGCTCCAGGAATGGCTGCAGCTCTCAGGATAAAGATGGAAGACAAATGAGAGATAGGCAGGCAAGTACCGAAAACTCGTCCTCCAGCACACGCCGCATGAGCCATAACCCCGGGGATCCAGGTCGAGGCATATAGACCCATACCAAGCATACCAAGTGCTCGCATGATATTTATCCGCACCAGGATGGGTCCGATTGGAAGTGCATGTGTTGGAAATGGCCCTACCAGAGGATACCATGAGGCACCACCATAGCGAAATCCACGATAGAAAAGTACAGACAACCTGTTTATGAGATACTCGAGGACCAGGCATCCTATCATACCCCACTCCCCAGAGGAAGGTCAGGGCTGAGGAATTTCACCCACAACAGTGTTAGTGTATACGAGAGCGTGGCGGAGGAAAGCTCTCGATACTGCTACTAGGATAAAACCAAATCGTCTGCTTGTATATTAATAGCATTTTCCTATATGATCTAGGTAAACCTAGTATAGTATATCGCATCTTTCTTACTCTCTAGAGGTTGGGCTTTAATATTAAGGTGGGATCTGAAGAACTGTAATTACGAGCTGGGAACGCAGGTTGGGTGACTTGGAACCACGCATTAAATCCTAAGATCAGAATACTCTAGAAATCTTAGTGTGCTGAATAGTCCATGACTTTGATAATGATTTTATTCTCTGTTTCTATGAGAATTAACCCTTAAGATAAACCTATATCATGCGCATTGCACTCGGCTAATTAAAACGTCTCCTAAAGGGTTACACGTGTTACACTGATCAGTACCTATCCTAGAGCAATAGCTTCCGAAAACCGTTTTAGATAAATTACGGCCGTTCTGTTCAGTTGCCCCATAGTCCACAAATCGACCGTTTCCTTCCGTTTGACCGTCATTCTCGCAGCGGAAAGGGTCGCAAAATGAAACGGAAAGGGTATATCCTAATTAACAATTACTTAACACAACTGCTCATGGCGAGATTGATACTATATCTAAAGAGAAATTTCCTAAGCCCAGAACATGACTCCCGTGAGCAGGAGGTAGAGGATCGAGCGGGAGTTTATCAGAAAACCCCCACATACTGGATTCCTTTTTTCACGCTTTTTCTCTCATCTTTTTTTTCTTTCTTTTCTTTCCCGCTTCCGAGAATGAGGTTGATATCGGGACCCAGGAGGGTCCGGTGAAGGCATTTGAGTCAGTGCCTCGAGAGATTACTCTCGCAGCTTTCGAAGATAACGAAGAGCGGAGAAGGGGCCACCCACTAGAACTAGTACGACATCCTCAGAGTGTGGTTTTATTAGAACAAGCATATGGGCAGTTTTCGTTGTTGTTGGGAAAATGAGTTTGAAGTGTGGCAACCAAAGAAAAATGTTCTTGAGATAAATGAGTTTTTTTTTTCTCTCAAGTAAATCAACTACTCTACCATGATAAAAATGTTTAAAAATAAAGTAACCTGATTGAAATTTTATTTTGTATATAGGTTTTATATCTATGAAAAAGATTATGTGAAATGATGCTATTTACATGGTTTTCCTGCTATTTTTTATTCTTTGATCTTGGTGGTCTTCCTTGCTTTCTAGGTTTTGGTAATTCTTGCTCTGCTAGTTCTGCAGTGACTATACTAGTATTAGCCCCTTCTCTGATACTAGTGACAGAAGTATTACCGTATTTACTCGTTAAATCGGCCATCTAGCATCAGGGTTTGGTGATGGTGCAAGGGGCTGTGCGTGCTGGTGCCAAGAAATCAAGTAACTAGCGATGATTCTAAGATGAAAATCCCAGACAGACTACATAAAATTAAATATGAGTCAATTTAGGTATTGCTCAGAATAAGGATAGAATATGAGGTCAAGTTTCATTGACTGATATCTCAACTCTACTGACTTGAATCAGAGCAACGTGTCTTCAGACCATAGAGTTTCCTCTTAAGGTGGCTGGTGGGTGCTTGAGGTTTGCTGGTGTTTTGACCGGTCTTGTCAATGTAGGAAACTCGTTGACCTAAAGATGGATTGCTCCCATTCAAAGTTAATATGATATCTGTCTTGTATATAGAATGACTATTAGTTAGAAATTAGGAAGGAGAAATAGTCATAAAAGTAATAACTCGATACTGTACTAGTAGAATAGAGCTTGACTAGGACGAAAGCAAAGAACAAATAGAAAAGAGAAAAAATATAAAGCCTAGAGTAGAGTTAATAGAGAAAGAAGAGAGGTAGCTATACCCCTAATCAAGAAAGCTATTATGCCACCAATTTGAAGTCCAAAACACCGGCGAGGACCAAAAGCGAAGGCAATTGAGCAGCAAAACCTATCCGCAAATGAGCTAAAGTCAATTCAGCATCCTCAAAGAACCCTTAGTCAATCTCAAAGGCTTCGAGTGCTTACCTTTCTTGAACATCATCGTATTCCACTACGCTAACCAGGAGAATACTACAAATCCACCCAGCAAGAAGCATCCAATATGTACAGTATTCCAACACGAACAATTAGTGTGTGGATTAAGAGATGGAACCAGATTGAGGGGGTAGGAAAGAACTCACACATAAAAAAGGAGGAAAGATATATGAATACACAGCAAGTATTGTAGCCAGAGCTGCAGAAGCGGTTACATAGTGAGTTTTTAGAGCGGAGGAAGGTAGGAAGAACTGTACAACAGGGCTGGTTCCGAATTCAGTCCCAGTTCCTATTCTACTCTCTATATTTAATGGTGGATTCTGCAGTCTTCCAGTTCAGCAATGGCTGATTTTGGGGGTTCCTAGATTATCATAAAATCAGTCTTCAAAGGATTACAAAAAAAGCTCAAAAGGTACCAGACAATTACAAAATGCTTATTGTAAATTGGCTTTGCTATAACTGCCGGAATTCTCAGCCAAGAAGTGATAGGTTTTAGGAGAGAGCAATTGGAAACCCGGTTGGTCACTATCAGCTCTCAAATATTTGCAATCTCGACAAAACTCCATTTCTAATTGAATATTTGGAAGGAAAAACATATAATATGATTGGAGAAAATACAGTATGGGTAAAGGAGAGTCGATCTGGATGGGATAAGAGGAAAGAAAGCCTAGTTCTTTGTATTTTTAAGAATGGAATTGCACGAGTACCTCCCATGATCATTTTTCATGGAAAAGGCACAAGACTCAGTGCTGAAAAACTACACTATCATCCTGGAGTCTTGGTAGAATATAATCCTACAACTTACATGAATGATACACTTTTTGAAAAGTATATCACCAATCATTTGATACTGGTACTCAGCAGCCGACCAACCATTTTTGAGCTCGATTTGGTGAGGTCTCCTAAGACCCCCATCATCCTTGAACTTCTTCGCACTAATGATATTACCCCTTCCCTCATCCCCGCCTGATGCACCAGCCTTGTCCAGCCTCTTTATGTCTCTATTTGTTAAGCGGAGACAACTTGATAGACTTCAATATTGTCTGGGCCAATCAAGATTCGTTTTTGTAGACGGAGATTGTCTAGGAAGGCTTGGACTTGGCTCGTTTCATTTATGACTACTAGGAGCGAAGTAAAGCAGGTAAAGTAGGGTAGAATCGTAAAAACAATATTATATTGTTAAGGTCTCTTCTCTGTTGCTTGATGATGTCTAAAGCTTGGAAGGCACTTCGATATTTATATTCCCCGTCTGAGTGTTCGTGGACTACATCTATTTATCATACAACTATATACTTCTTTAATCATAATTCACAACGTCGAGTTTTCTTCCAAGGTGCGAACACCTGTGGACCCTGAAAACCATCACACCCTCTTTGGTAATTACGATATTTCTTGTTAGGAAATGTACTGTCTCCAATAGTAATATTCTGATTAGCAGAGTCTTTAGACTTATGGCCTAGTTCTTAAGTCGAACTGAGTTGGCTCCAATTGTCTTCGCCATTGATGAAATAATCAGTTTTATCCACGGCTATATCTGCAAAGGTGGTCGTCATTACAACCATTGTAGGTTGTCTGACTCTAATCCTTTGTAACTCCATACCCAACTGATAGATTTTCTCAGGATAACTTCCTATCAACTCGCAGGAAGCTATTCCACCAGATTAGTAATTAATCCCTCCGTTGGCAACCCTTGGTTGCTCTCTGGGTAGTATATTTCAGTAACTATTGTAGAATTGAGGATCACCCCATGGTTACAATGTATTCCAAAACCCAGTTGCAACACTCCGTGAAGTTCATTGGCTTTTTTGGTAGTGTCTTTTGGAGTTCTAGCCTCTTCTGGTAATTGTAAATGTATTGGTCTCTAGTAGAGATTCTTTACCATTTGATACCATCTCTTTGTACGAAATCGTCCCATTACATATGGCCCATGCCAAAGGTATCATATCTTTAGAGCCAGGTAACTCTCTGAATAGTTGACAGAATCATTCTGTTCCACTTCCCAGACCTAGCCGAAGGTCCCCTCTCATATATCCCGTGAACAGGATCTGGTCGGACAGACGGCGGCAACGTATATGGTGTTATTCTAACACCTTCAATTCTGTAGTAATATAGTCACAGGACGCAACTGAGATTGATATATATGATGACGCGCAGGTCCCGTAATGGAGCCAGAGGGGGGTGTTGGAGACCAGAGATTCCGATTCCAAGTGGAGTTACCCTACTTAGGGTGGTTCCTAGGTATCGGGTTCTCGTATTCCTAATACTATTAACAAGCCTTTCAATGGGATTATGCAAGATATCACGGATGAGAAGATTTTTGAGTTGGAATCAGCTGCAGAATTTGAAAAGTAGACTGTAGGCGATAGGCGGGTCATGACAATATACTGTGTAGGGAAGGCCTTTGATCAATTTCATTCTACTAAGTCTCATGCAATTTCTACTTCTTCTTGCAAGCTAGGTTTATCACTTCCTATCGATGGAAGCTCAGATAATGAGCTGGATATAACTGGGTTCTCGGGATTACAAATTGGGGATTGGAGGTAAGATTTAAGCTTACTGGATGATAGAGCCGACGTAGGAAATGAGGAAGATCTTGATATTGAATTTGTAGATACTATTGTAGAAAATAATTGTTTGTAAAGCTTAACTTACCCATCTGTAGTAGTTGACTGACATTGAAATGGGCTAATTTCGGCATCATGGATAGTCACTCAATCCCTTAGCATGATCACGCATACCCTCTTGTGTTATTGCCAAGCCCCAATCTCAGATGCCCGATTTAACGAGTAAATACTGTATTTTCATCTGATTATAGAGTAGGTACTTGCTGTTTTCATAAACTGCATTGTGACAAAGCAGATTGAAGAAGTGGAATAAAGGATTTTCACATAACTCACACTTGAAAGTCATTGGTGTTTATTGTTATTTGATGACTCACAGTTGGAAGTTGTATGATGTTATGATTTTCGCACATGACTCATATTTATGAATTATGAGTTTCACACATGGGATGCACTTAGCACACTTGATCTATGATAAGAATTAGGAGTGTTTTGGCATGTTGCGCAGTTGACTCATATGAGTCAACTGAGGATCTCAAATGACTCAGGATTGTGAGTAATAGGCTATGGTGATATGAAGGTATGAGTCACATAGGGTTAGGT